CGCACAGAAAATCGCGTAGTGGAGCCTAGGCTTTACAGAGCACCTTTGCATATCAAAAGAATTAGGAAAGCCTATAAAGCAATCCAAAATAAGCCGATTCCTTTCAATTTTTAACCCTGAATTCTCATAGCCCTCGCCGGCCGTGGGGGCCCTCCCCTAGATTTTTTTCGCGATAGCATAGCTCCGAACGAGCCGGTGATAGAGAGCGTCAATTTGACATGGGGTGCTAAAATTTCTTTCTGTGTGAAACTTTGCATAAATGGTCTTTGATTCAAGCCAGATCTTGTGACACCAACCGCATTTTCAGGTCAGGTCAGGTCATTGACATATGACGTCATAAGTAAACCTCTGCTCGGTCCTCAAATGTCGCAATTTCGCAGCACTCTCAGTGCCAGTGCAGTCACAGAGAAATGAAGCTCACACCAAGATACTTATAGGAAAGATGACCCGATGTTTGAAAGTAAAGCCCCAGTCACAAATCTGAAGCACCTGTGACATTTCCTGACACCCACGTGACTATTGTTTAACTTTTGTGTTTTGCGATGTTTTGACCTTAATTAAAGTATTGAAAGCTCAAAACGTATAACTAATGTTGTTTAACCCTATTAGTGGCAGGGGGGGGGTTGTTTTCATCCACCCCTCAGGTTTTTCGAGAATATCTCCGAAACCGCTGAAGCTACGATGCTGAAATTTTCTGACTTTTCCTAAAACTAAATTGGACACATTCCCTGAAAATTTCAAGTTCATAACTTTACCAGGGCGGCTCCAGAGCATGGGAATTGGGGGGTCCTATTCGTGAAGCGAGTCATCTGGGCGAAGATCACGATGCTGATGTATTATAACTGTATGCACCAGTTTTACGAACAGTGAATGAAAGGTGTCATGTGATAACATATACAAAGTTATTGCGCATCCTCTTTTGACACGTTTTTGCTATAATAGGCGGATCCAGGCGTCAAAAAGGGGGGTTATGTTTTACCTCCCAACATAGGTGCCCTGACACCGCCTATGCATGACCAATACAATTGTAGTCGTTCTCTCATAAGAAAATTGTAACATAACAAGACCATTACCACCCTTTTTAGAAACAGTACCAACAAAAACCTTATTTACTATACTTTTTGTGTACCCCCAATCTCAATGATCTGTATCCGCCTATGATTTTTGAAAATGCATATTTTTAGGATCCATGTGAATTCCTGGTTCATTCTCTATCGATCGGCAAAAGTTGCGTTAAGATTGGTTCAGAAACCTAGCCGTGATAAACAGTCTAAAATGTATCTGCAATTTGCCCGTTTTTACCCCCCCCCCCCCTCTACCCCCCTATTGACATTTTTTTAATTTTTATTTGTTAGAAATGTAGATCACGTTGAGCGAAATCGAATGCCGTTTGAATTTTGAAAATCGGGCCGTTAGATCTCGAGATATCAAGGGGGGGGGGTCGTAAACAGCCCCCCCCCCTGCCACTAATAGGGGTAGCCAGGAGCCTGCCACTAATAGCAGCATATTGATAATAATATTGGTAAATTATCGATAAACTGCTTATAGTAAGTCACGTGATTGCTACCAGATTCTGTGCTAAGATAGCATCTTTTCAACTTCGATTTTGAACACTTTTTTCCTCCTTTGAGGCCAAATGATGGACTGTTTGAGACACACGATTAAACGCTGAATCTATTGATGCCAAAATTTGATCTTTTTTTTGCATTTTTAGACTAGTATATCCTGGCTCAAACTTTGACCAGTTTGTGTGTAAATTCAATGGTGAAGGGAAAACTTCACGCCCAGCTGACGTCATTACAGTGCTACCAAATCCTGTCTGGTGAGGGTCGGCTCACACGACGTAGTATCCTCCAGAGGCGTGTTTCTTTTTTCCAACCAAAGGAAGGCGCTATACCCGAAGATGCTTCTTGGTTAACAAACCAAACAAAAACAAACATAACCTAACCTCACCTGACCTAACCTACAACCTACAAACCTACAACCTACAACCTAACCTACAACCTAACCTACAGACCTACAACCTACAACCTACAAAACAAACCTACAACCTAACCTACAACGCGCCAAAAATTTCGGCCGGCGGCGGGGACCGAACCCTAGTTGTTGGATCACGAGGCGAGTGTGCTAACCACTACCCCACGCAACCAGCTGGCCGGACGGAGGTGTAGGTCACTTTTCAATGACGCAATGGGATATTCTCCGTATAGCGCCTTCCTTTGGTTGGAAAAAAGAATTACGCCCTCCAGGCCCAATCTCACCAAGTGCGGTAAACTCGTTTGGGGTAGCGGTAAGTTACCGCACCGAAATAACCCCAAGCAAATAATCCAGTCTCACCAACCCAAGCTACCCCTTGCTGTAATTTACCGCATTTTGTGCAAATCCTGCAAAATAACCCCATTTTTCGACGCTTCGGATTGGTGGAAAAGCTGCTGATCACGCCGGCGCGATATAAAGAACGCAAGTGTTTTGTCGCCATGGCAACGATAGCGTGTTTCTTCTTTCCAAGCGGCACCTCAGTTTCCAAGACTCACGGGCGATATCTACATGCTGTTTTGGGTACTGCAAATAGGAAGCATAGGTGGCGCAGGCTGCAACAAAAAATAAACTTATTTCTTTTCTTTCTTATAAAGTTCTTATTACATCTTTAATTGTTGATTCTTGCTCACAATTGGTATAAAATTTAGAGATTACGGCACAAATGTCTGCGGTAATTTTGGTCCGAGATTTGGGGGCAATCAGCTGATTGTTTGGTTTGTTTACTTGCTTTCGGGCCGTGAGCAGCTCACAGCTGCGCACAGGAAGAATTTGCGGTAAAACCGAAGCTATCCCATGGGGTTATTTCGATGCGGTAACTTCAAAAATTACGGCAGTGGTGAGATTCGTTTTGGGGTAGTTTACCGCAAAATGAGTTTACCGCACTTGGTGAGATTGGGCCCAGAGGTATCAAAACTTGTATATCTCGATTTTTTCTAAGACCACCTGAGGTCAGGTCGGTCAAGTGACCTCATCATTACAAGTAAACGGGGAAAATGAAAACTGTTATTTTGGCACCGATCTCGATCGATCGATCGATCGAGATCGGCGCCGATCTCAACGATATCAAACGATCTCAATTTCAAACTATCTCAAACTATATCAAGCACACGGAATCTCACGGAATTTCATGCACTCCTTGCAAGGTCCGATGATTCACTATTGCTTTGTTGACCTTGAACGCCGTCATTTATGACGTCACTTGGGTCATAAGTTTTTCGTCAATAGCTTCCGATCAAATTGAGATAGCGAATCGGGAAAGCCACCGATGGACTCAGGAAAGCCTACCAAATCAAATACTATGCGATATGAGCTCCTTCGGCTAATTTCGTGACCAATGAAAAAACGAAATGGTAAAACAAATTGCGGAAAAGAATGAAGAAAGGAAGAAAGGCATGATGTGTTCACCTGAGAAGCAAGTACCTATTATGTGTTCGAACTTCGAAGAAGTAAAATCACGGAAATGTTTTAGCGAATACCTACCATATACGATTACCATTATAAGATTAACTCACTACTTTGTTTGACGCAAACATAACATCAGTGAGATGTGCGTTAGAAATTGCACGTCAGTATACATAGCCGTGAAGTAACTTTGCTTGGTGTCGGATTTTGAAAGATCATTTTTAAGCGCCTTCTCGTAAACTATATGATGTCAACATGTAGTTTACGTTTTCTGCACTTTCCGACTGCTCGGACTGGTTTCTTTGTGTCGTTTTACAAAACAGCTTTGTCAGCTGGGCCGATTTTATCGCATGTACCAAAAGTGATGCGGGCATACATACAGGCAGCTGCTATCTTGGGCACACACAAGTCTCAAGAAAACCAGTTTATTATTATCTTTAGCTGCAGGGAATTGAACACGCCCGAACTTCTAACGACTGTGTTTTAACACCGCCTCCTCCAAGACGCTTCAGACGCAGTAGTCCAGTGGGCTGAAGTCGGGCAAATTGGGCGGCCATTCGTCCCTGCCGACGAAATGCATCCGTCTGTTAAGAAGGGCTGGGTTGTTATGCTTTTTTGAGAGAGGGTTCGGTCTTGTTGGGGGATAAACCCAACGAAATACAGTTTCTCAGATGCAGATAGCAGTTAAGTTCCTCAACAGCTCACAGGCTCTCGACTCACAGGCAAGTCAGTGAGCCCAGCCTGGCTGAGTATTGAGCGAATTTCGAGAAAGAATATTTCAATCTTTCTTCTCCAGGGTACGCCAGCGCTGGCCATTATTTTCATTGAGGAAGTAGACTTCTAATGGCAGTCTTTCAGGAGCGATGTCAGTTTTTCCCGTTCCGTACACGCGGTTGTTTTGGATGTTTGTTGGTGTCTCCAATGCCCTAAATTAAAAAATTCGAACATCAGCGATAAAAAGGTTATCTAAACAGTGGTTCTTTTCATCAGTGAAAACCAATTTTTACATATAGTGTGCTGATTTTTTTTTGTACGGCTTCCTGGCTCAGGTTTTCCGTTTCTCTTTGACCGCGTTGGTGATGAGATTTCTTTGAAGGCCCTCAACTTCTTGAGCTCCAGGTGTCGAAGAATTGTGCTCCTCAGGTCGGATAAGCTACATGCGATCTTGCGCTGAATGATATGTGATTGTTTGTTGTTCTCTTGATATGGATTACCTTTCCCGTTACGATGCATGACAATTGGTATTACAGAAATCGTATCTACCTGGCGAATATTTCCCAATAATGCTGGACAAACCGGCCATCATTAAGTTAGTTACTGGCCGAAAATGAGCACTAGGTATTTTGCCGAGTTAAAAAATGGTTGTAAACTCGCACAATCAGGCAATATTTAACTCGTAATCCGAACTTTTGATTTTATGCAAATCATTGAAAACAGCAGGGCCTCAGTGACCTAACATAACGTTCAAAACAGGATGATCCTTTGAATTTTCAAACCCTGATAATCCCTTCAAGTTATCAGAAGACATACGCCGATCAACGGACAACAAAGCTCCGTGTGCTTGAATGTTGTATTATAAACAAGGCGAGAATCGTCGACACAATTGACAAGCACAACTTAATGCCACTCTTAACGCCAAACAAGTCAACTTGAACCATCATGATACCTGTTGCGGTCGGCAGCGATCAGAAGGATAATCCGTTGGGGGGGGGGGGGCAGAATCAATCCCGGGTGACAGAACAATCTACTTGAAATAGCGGGCCCAAGAAGAGTACGGGTAGCCATAGTAGCTTCTGTAAATCATGGCCGAATCAGCCTGCTGGTCCTCGGCAGGGGCCTCGCGCTTCTTCAGGTAGTGGATGTACGAAGAGTAGGGGTAGCCATAGTAGCTCTTGTAGAACATGACCGAATCAGCCTGCTGGTCTTCGGCCGGGGCCTCGCGCTTCTTCAGGTAGTGGGCCCAAGAAGAGTAAGGGTAGCCGTAGTAGCTGTTTAAGTACAGAGCAGGGTCCGCCTGCTGATCTTCAGCCGGGGCCTCACGTTTCTTCAGATAGTGGATGTACGAAGAGTAGGGGTAGCCAAGATAGCTGTTGTAGAGCAGGGCAGGGTCTGCTTGCTGGTCTTCAGCCGGGGCCTCAGGGGCAGACCGCTTCTTTCTCTGCAGGTCAGAAAGCCATGTCAGATCAGGATGGGATCCCTTCCCTTCGCAAAATGCTTTTAACGAGTGATCTGGGAAGTGACACGCCTACTTAGAAAACTGAGGCGAGCCGGCATATTATTTGACATGTCCCTGGAAGGGAACTGCTAAAAGTTATTTCCGTTACATGTAGCACGCATGGGTACGTTCAGGAAAAAAGCTGAAACCACCACCAGCGCCTGCAGAATCGTGACAAATTGACTTTTAAAGTATCTCCCGGATACTGCAATTAAATTGAGATTTCTTGCTCTGAGAAGAGCACACGACGAATGTATGTTATTCTCACTGTAAAGGCGGAACTACATTAGAGTGTTTGTGGCCACTTACCCAGATGTAGGGGCTAACGCCGCCGTAGTAGGTATTCGGGGTGATGAAGTAGTACGCCGAGGCGCAGGAGATCACAGCAAACAACAGCACCTGGAAATCGGAACAAATATTATCAGTAATAAGGGGGTGCAGAAAATTATATGCCAGTACTAAACACATATGCCAGAGGACACATATTGTTAAATAAAGATAAAAACATGCGTTTCACGTTACACTTTACTTACAATGCACTTCATAATGAGCTGTGAGGTAGTTTGAGCTGATGATAATGATGCCTGGTTGAAGATGAAAACTGCTTTTATACTGGGTTCCGAGCGACACACACCTAAACACAGGCCAATCAGAGGCGTTTGTTTTGAGGCGTCTCCTCCACTCTTCAGATAAGAATAAACCAGTTTTCTGAAGCAGGTTCGTGTGGAATATAGATGTGTGCCCGCATCATTTCGCAACTGACAAGCTCATAATGCAAGACAACTCTAAAAAACGCTGTTTTGTTGCGCTGCCTACTAAGACAATTAAGAAATGATTTGCTAAGTGACTGTGACTTATTCATGTTGACTGTTGAGCTCTATAGGTAAAAAAGAACGGCTACATATTGCGCTAGGGGAGCGCGTGTCTCTCAGGCGCTAAGCCGCTCTGGCACTTGGCAGAGAACTCAATAACGAGAACGAGAATGGTGACGGATGATGGTATAATTAAATCAGTGGCATGAATTAAAACAATTGTACCCAGCCCGCTAAAAGCATGAAGGGCAAGTACAGTAATGATCACAGAAAGTCGTTGCGTCCCTGCAAAAGCACAAAAGAAATGAGCATTTCGATTTTCCATCACGCTTTTTCTTTGTCGGTTGTAGTTGTTAATCGTTAAAGTGATTATCCCACCTTTACATGAAAATTAAGTTGAGATAGCCAAGTGGGAGTGGTTATCGAAAAAAACATGGGCCCTGATATTAACCCTCGCCCGCAAGTGCGATTTTCCCATCCTAGAACGCAACCTATAGAACGCACTTACGGGGGCTGCCATCCCCCGCGCCATTGCATTCTTGGTGATGATAGAGCTTTGCAACAAAATCCGTTAGATTTGATGAAAAATGGCGAATCCAACGGTACCTTATTTTAAGCCTCGCCCGGCGAGGGAGGATTGATGAGGATTGATGCACCCTTCCTGAAGGTTTTTCGCAAATAACGTAAAAAACGGTAGTGCCGCCAAGTATGGCATACCCTCTCGGGCAACCTTTTTGCACATTCACTGAAAATTTCAGGTCTCAACCATTTCAGGTCAGGTCACCAGGTCACAAAAACCGGTACAAGGCCAGGATAAGATTGGACAAGTTTAGCGGCAACGGAATCACAGAGCTTTTCGTTAATAGTGTGAGAACCGTGGCACGTAGCACCACCAAAGTTCAGTCACAATTTGGGGAAATCATTTGACACGATTTCTGGAAGTTTTCAATTCCAGTGACCTCAGGTCAGGTCACAAGGTCACCAAAACCGGTACATGGTCAAAATGGCACTGAAAATACACTATTCTGTTAATGAAGTATTAAGTTGGTCATCGATTTGATTCAAACTGGCAGGATATGCTACGCTCACAGAGTGGCATAGCCTGCATCCCGGTTTTTCAAATTTGTATGACCTGAGGTCATCTAGAGGTCATGACAAATTCTGAGAAAATTTGGCCGAATATCTTAAATTGTAAAATATGCTTCATTTCAACGTGTTTGTCTTCACTTGTAATGCCTCAGCTTGCATCAATACGTGATGAATGTGGTGATTGATTGCTGCAAAAATGCTAGGGTCAGGTCAACTGAGGTCAAATGAGCTCAAACTACGTTTTCGCCGATAACCTGGCACCCCATGAGGCTAGAGCTTCAAAAATGGTGTCATTGTGTTCTTTGTAATCAGCCGAGGCGAATGATATGCAATATGATGCATTTGGATGAACGTAGGAACTTATAAACTTAATTAATTTATTCAAGTTCACTTTATTTTTAGTAAAAAATGATTTATAATTTACTAAGTAAGATAAGGTTCACTTAACCCTCGCATGTGTAGGGGGGGGGTCGGATGGACCCCCCATGGTTTTTCGCGAATAACTCGCGTAAAAAGCGGTCGATCGCGACGAAACTTTCAGTACCCTCGCATTGATCAATTTTACACCTAACCTGAAAATTTCATGACCCTGACCCAAATGACCTTTGACCTGTGACCTCTTTTCCGAGACCATGTTTGGCCGGAATCGCGATTTCGCGTATGTCGGCTCGCACTAGCCGCGCGTTTGCAAGCTTTTCGTGGTTTCAAACGTTCAAACATGTAATTTGATGTTACTCCCGTGGGTGTCAAGGTCACCTGAAGGTCAGGTCAGGTCATTGACCTTTGGTGACCTCGGGTGACCTCGGCTCACTTTTTCGAGTTTTACATGTTTCTAGGCTAGTTTTTGGAGCTGAATTCGAATTTAGCAACCATTTGAACATTTACGAAGTAGTTTTGGTGACTTCGTAACATGTTACGAAGCTGTCAGAGGCGGTTGACACGTACTACGAATACCCGTCACGACGCCTACTGGTTGACCTGACCTGACCTGACCCGACCTGGTCTAAATGCTTCAAGACATCATCTGTGATCAAAACTAACACGATATTCGTGATCAGCACCCCGAAAAACCCCTTAGCAGCCACACTTTACGACTTTCTAACAGGTCCCGATTTTCCCGACTTTGGGTCATTGACCTGACCTGGAAGGTCAATCAATGAGCTAGGACCTTAAAATTGGGTATCATCGGCTTCCTCTCGTCACGGACAACACGCTCGTTTTTTCCGCGAAGCTCTAGCTCGATCAGGGGCCAAACGGCAAGGGGGGGTCCAACCGACCCCCCCCCCCCTACACATTAGAAGCTGGCAAACGCCGCACACATGCGAGGGTTAAACTGGTAACAAAGTATACTTACCATTGAATGCGCATTGATGTGCTGAGTTCACTGGTGCTTTTATTCTTGCTTTACCAGATCAAAAGTCATAAGCGAAAAACGTTTGACCTGTTTTAGCGAAAGTTTTATATTCTGTCCCCCCAAAACGCCCCTAAATATTGACCTAGAATCACCAGATTTGCATAGGGGCGAGGCCGCGAGATCTCTTATGGGCCCACCTACCCCATTACTTTGGTATTTCTAAGTTCCATAAGAGCCAATCGCCATGGGGTCGTACCAACGCCTCTTCGCCGTTCGTGTTACGTAAAAGGCCCTCGCCTGGCGAGGGTTAACTGCTCAGGTCAAGCATTGACCTTACAGTTCAGGTCAAACTAAAAATGTTGCTGTTTGTTGCTAAAATGTCGCGAACAAAAAAAAAAAAAAAATACGGTCATCGTCGAATAGCAAGTGCTCCATGATAACTGGGAGATAAAACTGGCAAAAAAAAACGAAATCAAGGTGTTCAAATTTGACAATACCCATAGCCATTAGCTAACGCAAGATATTGGGAATTGGTTAACTGGGTCATGACATGACCTGAAGAGCAGAATCATATCTCCGAAATCAAAAACCATAGTCACTTGAATTTTTTCAGCGGACGTTGTAAAAGGACTACGAAGCATCTACACAGAAAATCAGGTCGCAGATTATCTAAAAAAAGTAAGAAAGAAATAAAATGACGCAAAAAATGGATAGCTTGATGTAAGATCTTTCAGAAATATGAGGGGAATTTCTCGATTAGGTCATCGGTGAGGTCACTGGAGGTCACCGAACGTTAAGTTATCACGAAAAATGGTTCCCGATTTCAACAACTTTTCACAAATCGACGCATAGAACAAATAGAGCTCAGCACCTGGGAAAAGTGCTTTCGATGATAGCTCTTTTAAAGTTCTTTCTTCGTAATGTTCTCAGCTTTAACCTATGGCCAACGCCTCGAGGGATAAAACTCAAAATTTGACGTGTTCGCGGAATACGTTTTCTTGCAATCACTTTTGGCACCAACCTTGCAATACGCTTATTTTACCGGCATCGCGTTGCTATCGTTGAGAAACGTCGATTAAAGGGACCCTCCCACCTTAACATTAGTTTTGAGTTGAGATAGCCAAGTTTGCGGCCAGGCTCAGAAACCACCATTTATCCTGGTCGCAACCCCCGCAGCTTTATGGTGTTCAAGAAATTTCTTCCCTTTACTTGCAGGGTGGGACCAGCGTGGTCCCTATCTCTTAACCATTACGGGAATCTGATGACGTCATCAGGCTTTCGAACGTCCGTTAAATGTTTGACTAAAACGTTTTGTAACACGCGGTGGTATATGCTGCTTTGCGCGCAGCAAATGCCGCACTTTCAAATAAAGTCGCTAGGAACAGCGGAGATCCCAAAAAGTAAACAAAAGTAAAAGTCTAATATCTTGAAAACCTGTGAATATTTTTCGATGAAATTTGGTAGAAATTCGTTTTTGCTCTTTCTGAACCGAGCGACATCACTTTCATGCCAATTCATTAACTTTTTTGAAGGTGGGAGGGTCCCTTTAAACTATACGCCAACCTAAAAAAAAAACTTCAAAATTTGACTTGGTGGTTTAACCCGCGCCGGGCGGGAGGGTTGTTGAAAATTTCAGACCCAGGTCGTCTTAGGTCAGGTCACCAGGTCACGCCAAGTGACCTCACCTCAGAAAAAAATAAGAATGCTCGTCATAGCTACACCGACTGATCGATTGCCTTGAAACTTTCAGCGATTGATTAGAGCAACATTATCTATAAAATGTTTGTCTCGGAATTTTGATATCTATTAGTCAGGGGAAGGAGGCCCAATTTTGGGCCGAATAACGCAAAATTGGGTAGAGCTTAGCAAAGGGTGGTTTCTGGGACAAAAATGACCGCTGAACCCAAATCTGACCGGTGCGCACCTCTAACTAATGTTGCACCACTTCCAGAGCACGTGCAACTGCGCAGTTCCTCTTTTTTGAAGAATGGTACCCTTTTTATATATTTTAAAATGAAACTTGTCGTGTAGTTGTGTTGTATTCCAAAACCTTAATATTATAGTTAAAATTCATTGCATAAATGAAAATTTTAGTTAACGCATATCGCAGACAATCTATGACGTCACTGTGACGTCATTTATTCGTAAATTGACGAGAAAATGAGATGTGACAACAAAACATTTAACTTTATTCACAGGATACGCTCATTGGCGGGTTTAAAATGCATTGAGCATGCTCAGAAAATATCTCCCCGTTGCAAAAAGTAAAAATCGTCTGGATGGAGGTACCATTTTGGCCTACAGGGGGCGAAATCCGCGGAGCGTGCGTTTTTACCCCAAATAGTTTTTGTGCAATAACTTTTGATACAATGCTTGCATGTCGTCCATTTTACCATCGTTGTGATTCTCTCACCGAGACGCATCGAATAGTATGCAAATTGGCTTTGATTGGTTAAGATTATATTTTACCGCAGTTCATGGGCTCAGGTCGATTATCACGCTAGTAAAGGTTATGACCTGACTGGAAATGGTCATGTAGTTTACCAATCGCTTTGGCCGATTATCAAGATAATCGCATGGAAAATGCTTTCATTGTTCTTATGTGGTTTGATCAAAAGCTATAGCTGAAAAATTGCTGATGACGTTTTCAGGACGCCACATGACGAAATTCAAAGTAAGGTATAGAAGTCGTTCATACATATATGTGTTGGCGCCGCAAAGCATTCGTAAGGCATTGTATGCTTGCGAGATTTTAGAATTAGATGTGTTCTTTACAGGCGTAGTTTTAGTTTATTACGTTGGCATACGTACCTAATAAGGTCGGCGTAAATTTCGTCACAGAGGGTTTCACATGTGTTATGTCCCAAGTTCTTATCAATGTCTTGTGGTTATTCATGTTCTTAGACGTCACATACCCGAGCATTGAAGAACACGTAACAACTAACCGAAGAGAATTTGATTCTGGTTGGTTGTATTTATCTCTTTTGGTAAATACATAGGTATACACACACATGCACAGGCGAACACACATAATGTAGCACGGCTACTATCAGGAGGCGTTCGGCTGCCGGCCGCCGGCACGGTGACTCTGTGCACCCTGGGCGGTGGCCTTCGCCCAGGACGTCTGCCTCGTCCATCCAGTAGACGCGTCTGGTCGTGATGATACAATATGT